CCCCCCTCCCCCCCCAAAAAAACAGAAATAATAAGATGGGATGAAGCAACGAGGCAAGAAAATTGGGGCCCGGGGGGAGGGGGAAAGAGACACACAGTTGAACCAACCACCAGACCAACCCTCACTAACCGCCAACTGATTGACCTCAGACTGCCACGCATAATACACCCCCCACCCCGCCCCAGCCCCCACCCCAACCTGCAACCCCTCTAGTTGGGCGCCATCCCCCCACCTGCCGAAGCAGCTGCGTAATGATATTACGGCGCTGCCGGCTGTTGATGTCGTACTGGCCTCCAAAGGCGGCGCGTGCCGCATGTGCGTGCGTGAGTACGGCCATCGTGTTCCGCCACACACCCGGACCGAGGGCTTCCGCGATCAGGGAGAGCACGCCCAGCTCGCCCAGGCCGGGCCGGGGGGCGTCAAGCCTGTGGCGGGAAATGGTTTGGGTTTTATGGGGGTAGTGAGGACGAGGAGGGGGGAGGGGGGAGGGGGAGGGGGGAGGGAAACACATGCTGGAAGGAAACAAGAAGGAATGAGGGCTGCTGCCGGCAGCCAAAATCCTAGACTCCCCCGAATGAGTGAGTGAGTCCTAAGCGATGATGATGGTGATGATGATGGTGATGATGACGATGGTGATGATGATGATGATGATGATGGTGATGATGATGGTGATGATGATGATGATGATGATGATGATGATGGTGATGATGATGATGATGATGATGGTGATGGTGATGATGATGATGACGATGGTGATGGTGATGATGATGATGGTGATGATGATGATGACGATGGTGATGATGTCACGGGCATTGGGGGACGGGGGAAAGGGGAGGAGAAGTCAAGTGATGATGCAAGACAGAAAGGGAAGAAAGGACGGGGGGAAAGAGGGGAGGGAGCAATAGTCAAGGAAATATGTGCACCACATCACGTCATTTCATCACGTCTCATCACATCACGTCGCCCCAACTTAACCCAATCTTAAATGAATTGTACGGGAATCGGTTGAGTCGACATCAGCGCTCGCACTCTTCTTCACTTTATTCCCC